GAATACAAGCAATAATAAATGTTGGAGGGGATGTGGGTAAAAGAGTATACTCCTACATTGCTAGTGGGACTGCAAATTGGTGCAAACACTTTGGAAAGCAGTATGGAGATTCCTTGGAAAACTTGGAATGGAACCACCATTTGAACCAGCTATCCCACTCCTTGATCCATACCCAAAAGTCTTAAAATTAGCATACTATAGTGATATAGCCACACCAATGTTTATAGCAGCTGAACTCACAGTAGCTAAATTGTGGAACCAATCTAGATGCCCATCAATAGATGAATCAATAAAGAAACTATGGTATATATATATATATACACACAATGTAATATTACTCACCATTAAAAGAGAATAAAATTATGACAATTGCAGGTAGATGGATAGAGTTGGAGAATATTAGGCTAAGCAAAGTAAGCAAATCCCAAAAAACTAAAGGCTGATCTATGATGGGGGTGGGAAGCAAGGGAAGAATGGAGGAACTTTGGATTGGGCAAAGGGTAGGGTAGGGAGGGGTTATGAGGGTAGGAAACATGGTGGAATGAGATGGACATCATTACCTTAGGTACATATATAATTGCACAAATGGTGCATCTCTACACTGTGTACAACCAGAGAATTGAAATGTTGTGCTCCATTTGTGTAGGATGAATTGAAATGCATTTTGTTGTCATGTACAACTAAGGAGAACAAATAAAAATAAATAAATAAAATGCAATACCTCAAAAAAAAGGGGAGGGGGTTGAATTGGAGATTGACAGGAAATCCATTAGGTAAAAGTTAGGTATATAATTTAGATAAAGATTATCCCATCAAGTGAATTTCATATGTAGCAGTTCATTATATTAAACATATTCTTACTTGGAATTCCTATTTTCCAATAGAAATTATTTGTAATGGGTGATAAGGAATTATTACATGATTACAAAATGACTTCTAAAATCATCTAAGAGTACAATGTTTCTGGGTCTCAATTTCCTTTTATTATAAAATGAAGTGTTGAATCAAATTTTCCATACTTTAATACTTTAAAATAGCACGCTTATATTAAACTTATATTTGTATGGTTTTACAGTTTGGTAGTTCCTCAAAAACTAAACACAGAATTACCATATAATTCAACATATCATTCCTAGGTAATACCCAAAAGATTTGAAAATAGGAACTAGAGCAGATACTTATCCACCAATGTTTATAATAGTATGATTCACAGTAGCCAAAGGTAGAAATAACTCCATTGTCTATCAATGAATAAATGGATAAACAAAATGTGGTATAAACATACAACAGAATATTAATTCAGCCATAGACCGATGGGACAGCTTCGTCCCTTAAACCTATAATTCATTCTTGTTCAGATTTCATGTGCAGATTCATTCTTGTGCAGATTTCCTGGCTTCCCAGTGACTCTTTAGAGTAAAAATGTACCTACCATGCTGGCTGAACTTCAAACAATCTAGTTTAAGATATTTTTTGTAAATTCAGCTTTAATGAATCAGCTATATGAGTTACGTGATCCACACCAGAGGTCAGGAAATCAGATGAGGAAACTAAGGTGTAGAAGTGATTTTAAGTACCCTGCCCATAAGCAGAGAAGCCTGCAACTGTATTCAGGTCTTAGCCAGTATTTTTTAAATCAAGCAAAACTTTACACTCTTCAGTGAGAACAAACCACAGAAAGTTGTAATTGAGGTATTCTTAGAGTTTGTCTAATTACAAAAAAAGGCATCTGAGCTCACAGACAAGTCCCCTCATATGTAAACCATCAGGAATAAGGCCTGCTGTGGACTGCTGAGGCAGTGGGTGGTCATGGGAGAGGAGAGGGACTGCTACAAACAGACCACACCAGGTCCCAGAGACAATGGAGAGGCTGCAGAGTCACGTCTCACCACGAAGGAACAGCAGGAAAATCCAGCCCAACTCCCACCCTTCTGCAGGTAGGAGCCCTCACACCATGGAGAGGTAGGACAGGTAAGCTCCATGCCAGGAGAATTTTCAGGAAGAAGGCTTATTGATTGCAGGGTCCAGAGGGGTTATCGCCTAAAAGTTCTTTGGACCACAAGTCCGGAAATTCTTTGAACTTTATACCTGGTAAGAGGAGGGGTTTGAAGGTTTACATGACATTTTTTGTTCCATTTTTTAGACTACACAGAAGTTTCATATATATATATATAATTTTCTTTCTTTTTTTTTTTCAAACCTGGCATTTACAAAAAAGAGGAAGCTATAAACCTGTTATGTTTTAGATGTGCTGTCCCCTAAAAGCTCATGTGTGAGCCAATGCAAGAAGGTTTGGAAGAGAAGTGATTGGATTATAGCCTTGATCTGATCCGTGAATCGATCTCTGATGGGGCTCAGTGGTAACTGTGGGCAGGTGGGTGTGCTGGAGGAGGTGGGTCACTGGGGGCATGGCTGTGGGGTATATATTTTGTACCTGGAGGGTCTCTCTCTCTGCTTTCTGCTCATCATACGTGCTGCTTCCCTCCACTACATTCTTCCGCCATGATGTTCAGCCTCACCTCAAGCACTGAAGAATGGAGCCAGCCTTGTATGGACTCAGACCTCTGAAACCATGAGCCCCTAAATAAACATTTTCTCTTTACAGTTGTTCTGGGTAGGTTCTTTATTCACAGCAGCGAAAAAGCTGACTAAAACAAAAACCAGCCACAATGCCCTCTGCAGAAGTTTTTGCTGATATCCTGTGAAAAAATCTTTCTGACAGGAAGAGAAGATCAATTGTGTGGGGGGTGGTGGAGGCTGGAGAAGCTTATATGTTACAAATACAACAGGGGGTCTCTGGTAGGGGTACCTGGTCTGCTTCAGTGGCACCTACCACCCCCCACAGTCATCCACAGAACAAGCAAGTGTGAGAGTAGTAGGGCACACATTTGAGGACCTTATGATCCTCAACTGTCATACCCAAAAAGAAAGTATCTGGGGTAACGATGCCCAATCTGATAAGCATGTGTGGGGGTACAAACTACACCCAGTGGTAAATGCTCCGGTGAGCTCGGAATCCACATAGACCCATGGGACAGCTTAGTCCCTTAAACCTACAATTCATTCTGGTTTGGATTTCATGTGCAACAATGTTCTGTTTCCTGTCTTCCCAGTGACTCTTCAGAGTAACAATGTCCCTACCTTGCTGGCTGAACTTCAAATAATCTAGTTTAAGATATTTTTTGCAAATTTAGCTTTAATGTATCAGCTATATGAGTTAAGTGATCCACCCACAGAGATACATCTGTTATTAGCTTGCTAAAAATAAATAAATAAATAAATAAATAAATAAATAAATAAATAACCCAGTGTTCTCAGTCCCTAAGACCAAGCCAGATCTTGGTCCAAGGCAGTGAATGCCATCTTCCCAGAATCCCCTGCAAGTCTTGCTTCAATAGCCCTCTTCACACTCTGTCTGGTTTTCTTTCTCCTCCTCCTGCAAGAATTATCTTCCATGTATAAATATACCATAATGAATTCCACCTTTATACATATCTATAAAGCACCAATTAAAAATAAATAAACAAAGGAGTTGAAGGAAGACCAGCAGAATAGAAGAAAGGGAATAGGAGGAGGGAGGAGGGGGAAAGTGGAGTGGAGTGAATTCCATGCATGGACGATTCTGTCCAACTGAACCCAACTATTGCATAGAACTATAATGCACTAATAAAGCATAAAAAGAATTACCTGCAAGATAGTTATAAAAATTGAAGGAGATAAAAGTAATTGTGTTGATCAAACCTATTGCAAATGACAGATACATGTACATTTCCCCCCACCCCCATGTCTAGATTTTATTAATACTGATTAAAAAGTTAGAATCAGAAAACTTTCTATTCATACTAGATTACAGAAATTTTTTTATATACTCCATGAAACCATACCAGTCCTGTGAGTGCTGAGAGAAACAATTTTTCTCCAAATTCTCAGATACTAAAAAATAGGCCCTTGGGCTGGGGATGTGGCTCAAGCGGTAGCGTGCTTGCCTGGCATGCGTGCGGCCTGGGTTTGATCCTCAGCACCACATACCAACAAAGATGTTGTGTCTGCCGATAACTAAAAATAAATATTAAAATTCTCTCTCTCTCTTTAAAAAAAAAATAGGCCCTTTAGTTCAAGACTATTTTAGGGTGTAGCAAAGGGAATGGGCTCCTAAAAAATACCTATCAGAGGCCAAAAGGAGCAAAAATAGAATTCGTACCAATAAAATGAGGCCATATAAGTAAAAACAAAACAAACAAACAAAAAAACCCTGTATAAATTACCCCAGACCCAAATATATGAAAGAAAATTAGTCCAATATTGTAAATTGTGTTAGGAAGACACAACCAAACTCTCTCTTAGTTTCACTATGATTACAAAAGTAGTATCAAAAGAATAACCAATGACTATTATAAGGAGCAATAAAAATGTTTGGGCTGGCTGGGTGTGGTGGTACACACCTGTATTCCAGCAGCTCAGGAGGCTAAGGCAGGAGGATTGAAAATTCAAGATCAGCCTCAACAATTTAGTGAGGCTCTAAGCAACTTCTGAGACCCTGTCTCGAAATAAAATATACAAATGGGCTGGAAATGTGGCTCCATGGTTAAGCCCCACCTCCACCCCACCCCTTCAATCCTTGGTACCAAAAAAAAAAAAAAGGTCTGGCTGACTAGCGTTCTGAAGTGATCTCTGAGAGCAGGAAACTGATGATACAATCCATCTTGAGAGTTGCTTCACTTGTATTACCACTGTTATGAAATGATTCAACTTTTGCAACACCTTTCTCACATGAGCCAAATTGAAAATACAACACAACCAACATATGGAAAGTTCTATTTTCTGCTCATCTGCATTTGTTCTCCCTGACTGTGGCTGAGAGTTGAGATTTTATGTTGCAATGACAGTTTTCCCCTTTTGGAGCCCTTGGCAGCTTTAATCTTCCACAGTGGAGGGCGTTAAAAAAAAACGACACAATGGAAAGCTACATTCCCCATCAGGATAAGGAGAAGAATGCATACCTCGTTCAAATTTTAACCTCTGATAAAGCTGAAACTGATCCACAGGTACCAAACAGGCAATCTGAAAACAGAGATATGGGAGAGGTGAGATTGAATCACTGCAGGCCCTGGAGTTAGCAGCCATTTATGATTTCTCTTCCTGGCTTTGCCTACGATTTTCTCCCTGTACCAGTGTTTGCAAACTTCTTTTTCTTGACACTATTCATGCAGAAACACCTGCAGCAATTCTCAAATAATCCTCGTCTCGTAGCACAGCTAGGACACACTGTCAAGGCTTCAATTATGAAACAAAACAACTGCCTTCCATTCTTGAGCAGCACAACTAAGAGCAGACAACCAAAATTTATTTGGACTTCCCACATTATTTGTCTATATATATGAATGATGCTGCTTTCTTTCTATATTCAGTTACCAAAATTCAAAAAGATTATAGTTTTAGACCAGTGGTGCTGAGGAAACGGGAGGGGAAGGGGAAGGTACTGGGGGAAGGCAATGGATCCAACCATGTTATGTCCATGTATGAATAGGTCACAATGAATCCCCACCATTATGTAGAACCATAATGTACCTTTAAAAAAAAAATACTGGTTCTAGCTTTGGACCCTTAAAAGCTAAGGTCAGGTAGACAGTGCCTCAGGAATTATAAAAACAGCATTTGTCACCTAGGAAACAGTATCTTCCAAACAACAACAAAAAATTATTCCTGACAAAAATCACTCATGGAGCCCTTAGTCACCACACACTGATATCCCAGACCCTGGAGACAAAGAAATGCCTAAGGTACTGCTTATGGCTAGATGTCTATTTCCATTTCAGATGTACAGTGAACCAAAGGTTTACCAGTGAACAATGATTCATACCTAACCAAGTGACATTTCAGATTAATTATTTTAAATTGTATTTCAAAGGCCTATGCAGGAAAAGCTAACCACTCTTAGAGTGCCATTCTAAAAATATTAATTCCATTGACGTCAAGATACAAGTACACTAACGTTTCTTAAAAGATTTATAGCTGAGAAAATAAAAGAATTTGCTATTAGCCTTCCAGACATCAGCAATACAGGACAGTCTTGACGATTCCTCTAAATCATACACAAATATATACATACACATACACATGCACATATACACACATACATGCCATGTATGCACACACATTTTTATAATTGTTTTTGATATAAAATGTATCTGGATGGAAATTCTTGCGACTAACTAAAGGAAATCAGCTTTGAGAAAACCAGAATAAGATAATGCAGCCAAAATTACATCTAAAAACATATAATACATTTAGAAATGCATTAGAAATCTAATTATTCCCCTCACAAAAATAATTTCAATTTGTTTATTTTGCAAATGAACAAACTAAGTTTTTAATTAAAACGTGTGAAGAACCACAACTCAGTTCTTTCTCCACTATTCCAAGTGAAGTAGGGTAAAACAAATTTAATTAATTATGAACATTTTTTTCCTAATTTTTCTTTCTCCAACTGGGGACGAAGTATGGTATATTCCCATTTGGTACCTTAAACAAACACTCCTTAGTAATTCTTGTAAAAATATTAGGGTGAATTTTATGTTATATCTATTTTGCCACAGTTCTTTTTAATTAAAAAGTATGATTAGACTTTCATTATGTTGAAAACCACTTTTGTTCATTTGTTATAATACTACCCAAAAATCCTTCCTGAAAGATGAAAGTTCTCAAATAAAACTTGGGATTGGAGATAGAAGGTGCAGCAAGTGAAATAGTAGGAGACATTAAAGAACTGGAGTCCACGTTCTGACTTTGTCATTGATCTTTGTATAAAGAACCAACTGCTACTTACTTTAACTTTTGTACCAAGTTGTTTTGAGGATGATGTCATCTGCGTCCCAGAGACCTCTGTCACATTCCATGATCAACAAGCCTCAGCTATTTGAAGCCACTGATTCTATGGACAGTCCTATTCCCCACCCACCTCCATCTAAAGTAGTTTGTGAACTGGTAAAGAACCTCCTTAAGCCCTTTAAAGTCAACCCCTAAAAATTTTCATTTTTCAATGATGAGCAACTTAGATAACAGTTGGGTCAAATACAGTTTATGAGAGACAGGCAAATTGAAGATATTTTATATGGCTTGACTGTGAGGTGTCCCCCAAAGGCTCATGTGTGAGACAATGCAAGAAGGTTCAGAGGAGAGATCCTTGGTCTATGACAGTCTTAACCCTATTAGTGAGTTAATCCCCTCATGGGACTAACTGAGTGGTAGCTGAGGCAGATGAGGTGTGGCTGGAGGAGGTGGGCCATTGGGGGCGTGCCTTTGGGGTACATATTTTGTATCTGGCAAGTGGAGACCTTGCTCTGCTTCCTGATCATCACATGAGCCGCTTCCCTCTGCCCCACTGTCCCGCCACGATGCTCTGCTTCACCTCGAGCCCCGAGGAATGGAGCCAGCTCTCTATGGGCTGAGACTTCTGAAACTGTAAGCCTTCAAATAAACTTTTCCTCCTCCACAATTGTTCTTGTTGGATTATTTAGTCACAGCAGTGAAAAAGCTAACTAAAAAAATGTTTTAGACACAAATGAAATGCCAATGAGAAAAACAACAGAAATTAATGCAGTAAAAAAATCACCAGCAGTAGGAATGGATGTTTACAAACATAAATTTCATCAAAGTTCCTATTCCTGCCAATGGGAAAGTCATACATCTCTAATTTTTTGGCCTCTTCCTCTACTTTGAATCTCCTTTATTGTTTCCTAACTCAAAGGTTCATATGGAATAAAACCTTAATAAGGTAAATCAATTTTTCCATTACAATCTGTGATCATGAAAAGTTATTTCTACCATGGCTCACTATTTCATCCTTTGGGAATAATGGTAATGCCCAGAACACATCCTTCTCTCTGTTGTGTAAACTTGCATCTTCTCCATACGCTAGGTGATGGTCTGCTATAGGCAAAGCACTACATGATGCCTGGCCATGCCAAAGAGAAGAGGTTGTGCTTAAGGAACTGAAATTGCCCACACACAGGATGGAGAAAGAATTTGTATTGGGATCTTGTCATCAGTTGGATTTTTCAGATTAGGACTGATTTTCTAAAATACTTCTATCACACTTGTGGCTTTAGATAAGGAAAAGCTGGAGCTATTTAAAGATAGCAGATGATGCAAAGTATTGAATTCATAGTTCCACTGCCATCTGAAGCTAAGTCACCATTGTTCAAAGTCTCCATTTCTACAATTATAAGGTTGAAATAACCCTATTAGAATGATATTGGAAGACTCAATCACACTGCAGGTAAAGGGTTAGGATCAATTTTTTGAGGGTATTCACAAATACTCTAAAATCATCAGACTAGATGAGACTAGAGAATAATAATAAGATTATAAAGAAGTGTCTTGTAGGGACAGAGATATAGCTCGGTTGTTAGAGTGCTTTTGCACGTAAAAGGCCCCGAGTTCAATCCCCGGCACCACAAAAAAAAAAAAAAAAAAGTGTACCTTATAGTATACCTTTATCCTGTTTCTACCAACAAAGAAAGACCAAATCATCCAAAATCACACTAGAACATCTTTTTTTTAACTTTTTATTTTGAAATAATTTTAGATTCATAAAAAGTTGCAAAATTTGTAGAGTACCTAAATGTCATTCCAACTTCCCCTAGAGAGCACACCTTATAATACCATACTTACGGAAATAATAAAATTTACATTGATATGTACAATTAAATCATCAGCAGGCCCAGTAACGTCTTTTTTCAGTCCAGGATCCAATCCAGGCTGCTACCTTGTACCTAAGTGCAGTATCTCCCTTGCCTTCTGTGACACCTCTTTAGTTTATGAAGATCTTGACATGTCCGAAAAGCCCAGGTCAGTTATTTATACGATATTCTTCCATTTGGACTTGTCTGATGCTTTCTCATGATTAAAGGAGTTGTGTATTTTTACAAGAATGCCAAGTATGATCTTGGAGCCATCAGGAGGCACATGAGGACATGGTTCAGGACTGTGATGTCAACTTCCTAACTAGGTTGAGGCAAGGAGAGCCAGGTTTCTCCACTCTTTGCAATTCATAAGTATCCTGTAGGGGGCGTTTTAACTTAAGATCTTTAAGATGTAAGGACAGACAGGAGATGGAGATAGGTTATTACTTATAGGTCCTGGGTGGTGGGGGACACGAGCATGATGGGAAGATACACACGGAGGACAGGGAGAGAGAAGGACCCATGGGAGAACACCTTCACTGGGGCCAGGGCATTATCAAAACAGGTTTCACATGAAGAGTTTTGACTGGTGGGTTTAAATAAAGCAGGCAGAGCCAGGTGCAGCGGTGCCTGCCTGTAATCCCAGCAACTCAAGAGGCTGGGGCAGAGGAATCTCGAGTTCAAAGCCAGCCTCAGCAGATTAGAAAGGCACTCAGCAACTCAGTGAGACCCTGTCTCTAAATAAAATACACAAAAGGGCTGGGGATGTGGCTCAGTGGTTAACCTTTGGGTTCCACCCCTGGTACACTCTCCCCCCCCCCCAAACAAAAAGAAAGCAGGCAGAGTTCCAGGCTCTGACTGAGAAGTGGTCACTATGGAGTATCTGCCAGTTCATGTGGGATGTGAGGGTCACTATGGCTATTCAAATAGGCTGCATCTAGCTGTCCCACAGGGAGGTGGTTATCAGGAGGAAGTTGTATACAGGAGATTTCTGGAAGGGCCACATTGAGGAACTGAGAGGAGATGTAGAGCTAGAATCCTATTGTGTCAGGGTGACTAAGCCCTCTTTCTGGTATGAGAAAGTCCAATTTGTATTCACGATGGATGCTAAGGCAATATGAAATAATAATGATAATTTACTGCGGGGGGATACTTGATTCAAATTCTGTTTCTCATCACAAGTTTGCCCGCTAATGTTAGTTTCTAGTGGCAATTTATTCTCCCAAAACGTTAATGTGGTATTTGCTTAATGATGATTTTTCAATTTCCATCATTCATTCAATATTTGGTGATTAGAATTCTGCTGTCGGGTTAGATAGGAGCAAAAAGGTCTGGTATGCTATGGCACCAGTTAAAAATAAATTTAACTTATTGGAA